AGGGTCTAGCATGTGCAAAATTGCAAGAACAAGGGCCTAGCGTGTGCAAAAAAAAAAGAACAAGGGCATAGCGTGTGCAAAATAGCAAGAACAAGGGCCTAGCGTGTGCAAAATAAAAAGAACAAGGGCCTAGCGTGTGCAAAAAAAAAGAACAAGGGCATTGCATGTGCAAAATAAAAAGAACAAGGGCCTAGCGTGTGCAAAATAAAAAGAACAAGGGCCTAGCGTGTGCAAAATTGCAAGAGCAAGGGCCTAGCGTGTGCAAAATTGCAAGAACAAGGGCCTAGCGTGTGCAAAAAAAAAAGAACAAGGGCATAGCGTGATCAAAATAGCAAGAACAAGGGCCTAGCGTGTGCAAAATAAAAAGAACAAGGGCCTAGCATGTGCAAAATAAAAAGAACAAGGGCCTAGCGTGTGCAAAATTGAAAGAACAAGGGCCTAGCGTGTGCAAAATTGCAAGAACAAGGGCCTAGCGAATGCAAAATAGCAAGAGCAAGGGCCTAGCGTGTGCAAAAAATCAAGAACAAGGGCCTAGCTTTCGCGAAATAGCAAGAGCAAGGGCCTAGTGTGTGCAAAATAAAAGAACAAGGGTCTAGCATGTGCAAAATTGCAAGAACAAGGGCCTCGCGTGTGCAAAATAAAAAGAACAAGGGCATAGCGTATGCAAAATAGCAAGAACAAGGGCCTAGCGTGTGCAAAATAAAAAGAACAAGGGTCTAGCATGTGCAAAATTGCAAGAACAAGGGCCTAGCGTGTGCAAAAAAAAAAAGAACAAAGGCATAGCGTGTGCAAAATAGCAAGAACAAGGGCCTAGCGTGTGCAAAATAAAAAGAACAAGGGCCTAGCGTGTGCAAAATAAAAAGAACAAGGGCCTAGCGTGTGCAAAATTGAAAGAACAAGGGCCTAGCGTGTGCAAAATTGAAAGAACAAGGGCCTAGCGTGTGCAAAATTGCAAGAACAAGGGCCTAGCGAATGCAAAATAGCAAGAGCAAGGGCCTAGCGTGTGCAAAAAATCAAGAACAAGGGCCTAGCGTTCGCGAAATAGCAAGAGCAAGGGCCTAGTGTGTGCAAAATAAAAAGAACAGGGGTCTTGCATGTGCAAAATTGCAAGAACAAGGGCCTAGCGTGTGCAAAATAAAAAGAACTAGGGCATAGCGTATGCAAAATAGCAAGAACAAGGGCCTAGCGTGTGCAAAATAAAAAGAACAAGGGCCTAGCGTGTGCAAAATAAAAAGAACAAGGGTCTAGCATGTGCAAAATAGCAAGAACAAGGGACTAGCGTGTGCAAAATAAAAAGAACAAGGGCCTAGCGTGTGCAAAATAAAAAGAACAAGGGCCTAGCGTGTGCAAAATTGAAAGAACAAGGGCCTAGCATGTGCAAAATAAAAAGAACAAGGGCATAGCGTGTGCAAAATAGCAAGAACAAGGGCCTAGCGTGTGCAAAAAAAAAAGGACAAGGGCCTAGCGTGTGCAAAATAAAAAGAACAAGGGCCTAGCGTGTGCAAAATTGAAAGAACAAGGGCCTAGCGTGTGCAAAATTGCAAGAACAAGGGCCTAGCGAATGCAAAATAGCAAGAGCAAGGGCCTAGCGTGTGCAAAAAATCAAGAACAAGGGCCTTGCGTTCGCAAAATAGCAAGAGCAAGGGCCTAGTGTGTGCAAAATAAAAAGAACAAGGGTCTAGCATGTGCAAAATTGCAAGAACAAGGGCCTAGTGTGTGCAAAATAAAAAGAACTAGGGCATAGCGTATGCAAAATAGCAAGAACAAGGGCCTAGCGTGTGCAAAATAAAAAGAACAAGGGCCTAGCGTGTGCAAAATAAAAAGAACAAGGGTCTAGCATGTGTAAAATTGCAAGAACAAGGGCCTAGCGTGTGCAAAAAAAAAAGAACAAGGGCACAGCGTGTGCAAAATAGCAAGAACAAGGGCCTAGCGTGTGCAAAATAAAAAAGAACAAGGGCCTAGCGTGTGCAAAATAAAAAGAACAAGGGCATTGCATGTGCAAAATAAAAAGAACAAGGGCCTAGCGTGTGCAAAATAAAAAGAATAAGGGCCTAGCATGTGCAAAATTGCAAGAACAAGGGCCTAGCGTGTGCAAAATTGCAAGAACAAGGGCCTAGTGATTGCAAAATAGCAAGAGCAAGGGCCTAGCGTGTGCAAAAAATCAAGAACAAGGGCATAGCATTCGCGAAATAGCAAGAACAAGGGCCTAGCGTGTGCAAAATAAAAAGAACAAGGGCCTAGCGTGTGCAAAATTGCAATAAAAAGGGCCTAGCGTATGCAAAATTGCAAGAACAAGGGCCTAGCAAGTGCAAAATAGCAAGAGCAAGGGCCTAGTGTGTGCAAAAAATCAAGAACAAGGGCCTAGCGTTCGCGAAATAGCAAGAACAAGGGCCTAGCGTGTGCAAAATAAAAAGAACAAAGGTCTAGCATGTGCAAAATTGCAAGAACAAGGGCCTAGCGTGTGCAAAATAAAAAGAACAAGGGCCTAGCGTGTGCAAAATAAAAAGAACAAGGGCCTAGCGTGTGCACAATTGCAAGAACAAGGGCCTAGCGTGTGCAAAATTGCAAGAACAAGGGCCTAGCGAGTGCAAAATAGCAAGAGCAAGGGCCTAGCGTGTGCAAAAAATCAAGAACAAGGGCCTAGCGTTCGCGAAATAGCAAGAACAAGGGCATAGCGTGTGCAAAATAAAAAGAACAAGGGTCTAGCATGTGCAAAATTGCAAGAACAAGGGCCTAGCGTGTGCAAAATAAAAAGAACAAGGGCATAGCGTGTGCAAAATAGCAAGAACAAGGGCCTAGCGTTTGCAAAATTACAAGAACAAGGGCCTAGCGTATGCAAAATTGCAAGAACAAGGGCCTAGTGATTGCAAAATAGCAAGAGCAAGGGCCTAGCGTGTGCAAAAAATCAAGAACAAGGGCCTAGCATTCGCGAAATAGCAACAACAAGGGCCTAGCGTGTGCAAAATAAAAAGAACAAGGGTCTAGCATGTGCAAAATTGCAAGAACAAGGGCCTAGCGTGTGCAAAATAAAAAGATCAAGGGCATAGCGTGTGCAAAATAGCAAGAACAAGGGCCTAGCGTGTGCAAAATAAAAAGAACAAGGGCCTAGCGTGTGCAAAATAAAAAGAACAAGGGCCTAGCGTGTGCAAAATAAAAAGAACAAGGGCCTAGCGAGTGTAAAATAGCAAGAGCAAGGGCATAGCGTGTGCAAAAAATCAAGAACAAGGGCCTAGCGTTCGCGAAATAGCAAGAGCAAGGGCCTAGTGTGTGCAAAATAAAAAGAACAAGGGTATAGCATGTGCAAAATTGCAACAACAAGGGCCTAGCGTGTGCAAAATAAAAAGAACTAGGGCATAGCGTATGCAAAATAGCAAGAACAAGGGCCTAGCGTGTGCAAAATAAAAAGAACGAGGGCCTAGCGTGTGCAAAATAAAAAGAACAAGGGCCTAGCGTGTGCAAAATAAAAAGAACAAGGGCCTAGCGTGTGCAACATAAAAAGAACAAGGGCATAGCGTGTGCAAAATAGCAAGAACAAGGGCCTAGCGTGTGCAAAATATAAAGAACAAGGGCCTAGCGTGTGCAAAATAAAAAGAACATGGGCCTAGCGTGTGCAAAATTGCAAGAACAAGGCCCTAGCGTGTGCAAAATTGCAAGAACAAGGGCCTAGCGAGTGCAAAATAGCAAGAGCAAGGGCCTAGCGTGTGCAAAATAAAAAGAACAAGGGCCTAGCGTTCGCGAAATAGCGAGAACAAGGGCCTAGCGTGTGCAAAATAAAAAGAACAAGGGCCTAGCGTGTGCAAAATAAAAAGAACAAGGGCCTAGCGTTCGCGAAATAGCAAGAACAAGGGCCTAGCATGTGCAAAATAAAAAGAACAAGGGTCTAGCTGTCAGAACATATCTATAGCTTATACTGCTGTGTAGGCTGTAGTGGGGTATCCCATAGGGGGTACAACCCAGTTAGGGTTTCATATTTGTACTGCTTTCATTCATAGTTCATCCATTCCTGCTTACTCATTTTCACATGGTATAGAGCTAGGTCCCTCCAGGACCGAAATTTTTTTGGGCCCACCGAAGCGCGCCCCTGAGGCGCGATTTTTTTTAGCGACCCCTCGAGTCGCCCTCTCCCCTGCGGCCTCGCCGCCCACTCTGTAGCGGCCCCGCCCTGCTCCTTACGCGGCCCCGCCGCCTGCTCCTTACGCGGCCCCGCCCCGGCCCTTACGCGGCCCCGCGTCGCCTCCTACGCGGCCCTTACGCGGCCCCGCGCCGGCCCCTTACGCGGCCCTTACGCGGCCCTTACGCGGCCACGCCGCCGGCTCCTTACGCGGCCCCGCGCCGGCCCCTTACGCGGCCCTTACGCGGCCCTTACGCGGCCACGCCGCCGGCCCCTACGCGGCTCCGCACCGGCTCCTACGCGGCTCTTACGCGGCCCCGCGCCGGCCCCCCCCCCTTACGCGGCCCTGACGCGGCCACGCCGCCGGCTCCTACGCGGCCCCGCGCCGGCTCTCACGCGGCCCCGCAGCTGGCTCCTACTCGGCCCCGCAGCCGGCCCCTTAAGCGGCCCCACCGCCGGCCTCCTACTCGGCCCTGCCCCGGCTCCTATCACGGCCCCGCCCCGGCTCCTTCGCGGCCCTGCCCCGGCTCCTACGCGGCCCTACCGCCGGCCCTGACGCGGCCCCGCCCCGTCTCACTTCTACGCGACCCGAGCCGCCTGTCGCCGAGCAGCCCGGGACCCGAGCCGCCCTCCAGCCAAGCCGCCCGGGAGCCGAGCCGCCCTGCACCCAAGCCGCCCTGCAGCCGAGCCGCCCGGGAGCCGAGCCGCCCTGCACCCGAGCAGCCCTGCCGTCGAGCCGCCCGGGAGCCGATCCGCTGTACACCCGAGCCGCCCGGTCGCCGTTCTGCTTTTCTGTCGAGCTGCGCGACCTGCCCTGCCTGGTGAGCACAGTCCCACTGTCACTGCGTGCTCTCCCCCCTACTGCTCGCACTGCTTCACAGTCGTCGTCATGGCTACCCCTAGTGTCCTAGCTTTTGACGTTGAGGGTCGCGCCATTGATTTTGAGGTCTGGCTAGACGACCTGCAGCTGTTCTTACAGTGCGACAGGGCTGATGACCTTTCTCTCTTTGACCTCACCTCTGGCGCCTCTCCTGCTCCTGCTGCTGATGCTGATCCCGCTGTCCACTCTAAGTGGGCCACCCGCGATGCTGCTGCACGTCTTGCTGTGCGTCGCCACCTCCCTACCTCTGAGCGTGTGCACTTTAGTCAGTACAAGAGTGCTCAGACCTTGTACGACGCTGTAGTTGCGCGCTACTCCTCCCCTGCCACTGCTGCCCTGAGCCGTCTCATGCTTCCCTACCTCTTTCCTGACCTCTCTGCCTTTCCCACTGTCGCTGACCTCATTACGCACCTCCGCACTAGTGACACTCGCTACCGCGCCGCCCTTCCTGCTGAGTTCTGCGCTAGGAACCCCCCTCCCATGTACATCGCTCTCTACTACGTAGTCGCGCGCCTCCCTGACTCCCTTCGCGTCGTCAGGGACCACTTTCTCGCAGTCTGTCCCACCACTCTCACCGTCGACCTCCTCGAGAAGGCCCTCCTTGCAGCGGAGAAGAGCATAGTCGCTGTAGGTGCTTCTCGTGGTGACCCTCGCACCCCCATCTTTGAGGGGTGCTCTCCTTCCCCCTTGCTGCCCTCTGTTGCCTCTGCTGCTGCTGCCGACCTGCTTGGTCTTGAGTCGGTCGGCGCGGCGTCTGCCCCTAGTGGGAGACGTCGCTCCAGCAAGGGCAAGGGAGGCAAGGGCGCGGGTGGAGCTGGGGGGGGCGGTGGCGGTGGCGGCGGTGGCGGCGGAGGGAGTGGGGGTGGCGGCGGGACTAGTGGCGGGGGTGGTGGTGGTGGTGGTGGCAGCAGCGGCGGAGACGGTGGTGGTGGTGCCAGCGGTGGTGGTGGAGGCAGCGGCGGAGGTGGAGGCGGCGGAGGTGGAGGCAGTGGAGGCGGCAGCGGCGGAGGCAGTAGTGGTGGAGGAGGTGGAGCTGGTCGGGGTGGTACCCAGCAGCGTAGCGGCGGTGGCGGTGGCCAGCGCTCGCACCGGCAGCAGCAGCAGCGCTCACGGGACATCCCTTCGCCTCAGCAGCTTCGTGAGTGGTACGCTGGGCGTCAGAGGGGTGGGGGTACTGGTCCCTGCACCTACGTTCTTCGTTCCGGCGACCGCGCGGGTGAGCAGTGTGGGGGTGCCCACGCCACCCAGCGCTGCTTTGGCTGCCTGACGGACGCCTGGCGTCAGCAGTTCCCTGGGGCTAGTGAGATCCCTCGCTGGGATGAGCTTCTCAGGGCTGGTGTAGCGATCTTTGATCTTGATTTTGATGCTATCCTTACTGCTATGTATGTTGTGGATTATAGTGAGGAGAATGAGGGTTACCGGTGTTTCCAGCCCGACCCGGGCATTGGTACTGCTGCGCTAGGTACTTGTGAGGCTGCTGCTCTAGGTGCCAGTGCGTCTGCGCTCTCAGGTACTGGTGAGACTGCGTTCTCAGGTACTGAGTCGTCCTCGTCCTCCCTCACTTTCACACTTGACTCCGGAGCTTCTCGCTCCTTCTTTCGAGACCGCACTACCCTTTCGCCGCTCGCCAGGCCGGTTGCGGTCTCCCTTGCTGACCCCTCTGGGGGTCCTGTCCTGTCTCACTTCTCCACTGTCCTCCCGTGTCCGGCTGCCCCTTCGGGCACCCTGTCTGGTCTGTACCTTCCCTCGTTCTCTACGAACTTGGTGAGTGGAGCGGACCTGCAGGATGGGGGTGTTCACCAGTTCACTCCTGCGCGTCAGCGGGTGACCCACTGCACGGAGGCTCGCACAGGCCGACACCTGGCCACGTTCTCGCGTCGGCCAGGGTCGAGTCTCTACACCCTGACCGTTGAGTCTCCTCCTGTCCCTGCGTCTGGTCAGGTGGCTGCGTCGGGTCAGGTACTTGCTGCTGCGTCCCGGTCAGGTCCTGAGTCTGCCCCCTGTTCTTGTCGCCTCCTGTCTCACGAGACTCTCCTGTGGCACCACCGTCTTGGCCACCCCTCCTTGCCCCGTCTTCGGAGCATGGCTTCCCGTGTCCTTGTCTCTGGTCTTCCCCAGTCTCTCCCTCCTCTCCCCTCCGGGCCAGGACCTTCCTGTGTCCCCTATGTCGAGGGTCGCCTCCGGGCTACTCCTCACTCCTCCCACTTCCCCCCGACAGAGGCTCCCCTGCAGACGCTTCACATGGATGTGTGGGGCCCAGCCCCCGTCCGTGGGCAGGGTTACGAGCGATACTTCCTGTTGGTGGTTGACGACTACTCGCGTTACACCACAGTCCTCCCCTTGCGCAGCAAGGGTGCGGTCACTGAGGTGCTGATCGACTGGATCCGCGAGGCTCGTCTCCAGCTCAGGAAGAGCTTCGGCTCGGACTTTCCTGTTATGCGTCTGCACTCTGACAGAGGCGGAGAGTTCTCTTCTCGCCTTCTGCGAGACTACTGTCGTGCATGGGGGATCCGCCAGACCTTCACGCTTCCGGACTCACCACAGCAAAATGGGATTGCTGAGCGCCGCATTGGCATGGTCATGGATGTCGCTCGTACGTCCATGATGCATGCGGCTGCCCCCCATTTTCTGTGGCCGTTTGCGGTGAGGTACGCGGCGCATCAGCTCAACCTTCACCCCCGGGTCTCTCGGCCTGCGATGTCCCCAGTCTTGATGTGGACAGGGAAGGTTGGCGATGCGTCTGTGTTCCGTGTCTAGGGATCTCGGGCGTTTGTCCGCGACTTGTCTGCGGACAAGCTGTCCCCTCGTGCTGCTCCCTGTGTCTTTCTTGGCTTCCCCACTGACGCCCCAGGGTGGCAGTTTTACCACCCCTCCTCTCGTCGTGTTCTGTCCTCCCAGGACGTCACGTTCGACGAGTCAGTCCCCTTCTACCGTCTCTTCCCCTACCGCACTCCTTCCCTCCCCCCTCCCCCGGACTTCCTTGTGCCGGTTCCCCCCCCGGTAGACCCCCTCCCCCCTCAGGTTCCTGCCCCCTCAGGTGTGTCCCAGGTAGACGCCGTTGACCCGGTCGAGGTTACTGGTGACTCTGGTCCTGCTGCGGGTGCTGAGCCTGGGGGTGCTGACTCTGCGGGTACTGTGCGCGGGGGTGCTGTGCCTGGGGGTGCTACTGCTGGGGGTGCTGGGCCTGAGGGTGCTACTGCGGTGGGTGCGGAGCCTGGGGGTGCTGAGCCGGGGGGTGCTGTGCCTGGAGGTGCTGGGTCTGGGGGTGCTGGGTCGGGAGCTGCTGAGCCTGGGGGTGCTGAGCTGGGAGCTGCTGAGCCTGGGGTTTCTCCTGCTGCTGCGTCTCGCCGGGAGCCCCTCTCTCCACAGGAGCTGCGCGAGTGGTTCGCTCGCCGCTGGAGGCGTGCTGCTGAGTCTGGAGGTGCTGCTGGGGCTGGAGCTGGAGCTTCTTCGATCGTCGAGGGTGCGGGTGCTGCCGGTCCCGGAGCTGCTGGACCTGCGGGTCCTCCTGGAGCTGGAGCTGCTGAGGGCGTTGGTGCTGAGCCTGCTGCTGTTGGTCCTGCCGCTGGAGGTGTGGGTGGCGCTGGTGCTGTCGCTGAGGGTGCTGGTGCTGTCCCTGCTGAGACTGGAGCTGCCGCGCGGCCTCGGCCGTACTTCGTTCCGCTCCTTCAGCAGGTTCTTGGTCTTTCTCCTCAAGTAGAGGGTCCACCGCCTGTCCAATCGCAGTCCCTACTGGAGCCTTCCTCTCCACTGCCTGCTCCCTCTCCTTACACTGGTCCTACTGGAGGTCTTGCTGAGCGTCGTGAGCCTGCGTCTCGCCCCGCGTCGCCTGTTCGTGCTGCTCGCGCTAGTGGTCGCAGTTCGCGTCAGCGTCCTCCTCCTGTCCCTGGCACGCACCGGATGTCTCTGCGTCCGTCCACTGCTCCTCTGCGTGCCCCTTTGCCTTCTCCTCCTGAGTCCTCTCTTCCTGCGCTTGCCGACCCTGAGTCGGACTCTCTTCGCGCTGCGAGTCCTACTGTCACGCGTCTGCTTGCTACTGTCGTCACTGACCCCTCTTTTGAGTCCACTGCTGCGTCTGCTCTAGTCGCTGAGCTCGTCGACTTTGCTGCTCGCTGTCGTCTCGACTACGCTGCTAGTCTTGTTGCTGAGTCTGCGTCTGTCTGTCCTCCGTCCGTCGGGGGTGAGTGTGCTCTTGGCACGGACGTCCTAGAGGACAGGCAGGAGGAGTTACAGTGTCTAGCGGCTGCTTCACCTCATCTCGCGTCTGTACTGCTTGCCCCTGAGGGAGACCCGGATGCACTAGACATCCCGACTCCGCGTTCTTACGCGGAGGCCGTAGAGGGCCCCTACTCCTCTCAGTGGCAGGCAGCCATGGATGCAGAGATGGCTTCCTGGAAGTCCACAGGCACCTACGTTGACGCGGTTCCCCCTCCTGGGGCGAACATCGTCAGTGGCATGTGGATCTTCAGGGTGAAGCGGCCGCCGGGCTCTCCACCTGTCTTCAAGGCACGGTACGTTGCTCGTGGCTTCAGTCAGCGGCAGGGAGTTGACTACTTTCAGACCTTCTCTCCCACCCCGAAGATGACTACTCTTCGGGTGCTGCTGCACATAGCCGCTCAGCGCGACTACGAGCTTCACTCTCTCGACTTCAGCACTGCGTTCTTGCAGGGTAGCCTGCACGAGGAGATCTGGCTTCGCCGTCCACCTGGCTTCACTGGGACTTTCCCTCCTGGCACCCAGTGGAGCCTCAGACGGCCAGTCTACGGTCTCCGCCAGGCACCGCGTGAGTGGCACGACACACTGAGGACTACGCTTGCGGCTCTTGGGTTTGCTCCTTCTACTGCTGACCCGTCGCTGTTTCTTCGCACCGACACTTCCCTGCCGCCGTTCTACATCCTCGTGTACGTCGACGACTTGGTCTTTGCCACAGCGGACACTGCTGGACTCGCCTACGTGAAGTCCGAGCTGCTGAAGAGACACACGTGCACAGACCTGGGTGAACTGCGCAGCTACCTTGGCTTGCAGATCACTCGGGACAGAGCACGTCGCACCATTACCTTGACTCAGTCACACATGGTGCAGCAGGTCCTTCAGCGCTTCGGCTTCACGTACTCCTCGCCTCAGGCCACTCCTCTGCCTACTCGCCACTCACTCTCAGCTCTGCCTTCGGATGAGTCCGTAGAGTCGAGTGGTCCGTATGCAGAGCTTGTTGGCTGCCTCATGTACCTGATGACCTGCACACGACCTGACCTTGCATACCCTCTGAGCATTCTTGCGCGCTATGTTGCTCCTGGGAGACACAGACCGGAGCACATGGCTGCAGCGAAGAGGGTATTGCGCTACCTGTGCAGTACGTCAGGCATGGGGCTAGTGCTTGGAGGGCGGAGTCCAGTGGTCCTTACCGGCCACGCGGACGCTTCTTGGGCTGACGACCAGGCTACGCAGCGGTCGTCACAGGGTTACACCTTCAGCCTTGGTTCCGGCTCTGTCTCGTGGCGGTCTACTCGCTCGTCTTCGGTTCTCGGCTCCAGTTGTGAGGCTGAGATCTACGCCGGAGCCATGGCTGCACAGGAGCTTCGCTGGCTCACCTACCTGCTGACTGACCTTGGAGAGCCGCCTCGTTCTCCTCCAGTGCTGTACGTAGACAACAAGGCTATGCTGGCCTTGTGTCGAGAGCAGCGCTTGGAGCACATAACGAAGCACATTGCTCTCCGCTACTTCCTTGCTCGTGAGCTTGCAGCAGCGTGGTCAGTTGCGACTTGCGTACGTGGCCTCTGAGGCCAACACTGCTGATGTGTTCATCAAGGCACTCGCGCCTTGTGACCATCAGCGCTTTTGCACCCAGCTGGGTCTTGTGCCTGTCTTGCCTCACTTGCTCTACCTCTTGACTTTCACTTGTACTGTGACATATATATATACCTGCTCTTGCTTGTCTAGTTTTATATATATGTCTGTACTCCTTGCATTGTGAACCGGCCTCTTGGCCTTGCTCTTGTGCTCAGACTGTGTGGTGACTTTGTGATCCACCCTGAGCTTTGCTTTGTCTTGCTTGACTGGTCTTGTGACCCCTTGTTCTCCCCCACTTTGCCTATGGGGGTGTGTCAGAACATATCTATAGCTTATACTGCTGTGTAGGCTGTAGTGGGGTATCCCATAGGGGGTACAACCCAGTTAGGGTTTCATATTTGTACTGCTTTCATTCATAGTTCATCCATTCCTGCTTACTCATTTTCACACTAGCATGTGCAAAGTTGCAAGAACAAGGGCCTAGCGTGTGCAAAATTGCAAGAACAAGGGCATAGCGTGTGCAAAATAGCAAAAACAAGGGCCTAGCGTGTGCAAAATAAAAAGAACAAGGGCCTAGCGTGTGCAAAATAAAAAGAACAAGGGCCTAGCGATCGCGAAATAGGGAGAACAAGGGCCTAGCGTGTGCAAAATAAAAAGAACAAGGGCCTAGCGTGTGCAAAATAAAAAGAACAAGGGCCTAGCGTTCGCGAAATAGCAAGAACAAGGGCCTAGCGTGTGCAAAATAAAAAGAACAAGGGTCTAGTATGTGCAAAGTTGCAAGAACAAGGGCCTAGCGTGTGCAAAATAAAAAGAACAAGGGCATAGCGTGTGCAAAATAGCAAGAACAAGGGCCTAGCGTGTGCAAAATAAAAAGAACAAGGGCCTAGCGTGTGCAAAATAAAAAGAACAAGGGCCTAGCGTTCGCGAAATAGCAAGAACAAGGGCCTAGCGTGTGCAAAATAAAAAGAACAAGGGCCTAGCGTGTGCACAATTGCAAGAACAAGGGCCTAGCGTGTGCAAAATTGCAAGAACAAGGGCCTAGCGAGTGCAAAATAGCAAGAGCAAGGGCCTAGCGTGTGCAAAATAAAAAGAACAAGGGCCTAGCGTTCGCGAAATAGCGAGAACAAGGGCCTAGCGTGTGCAAAATAAAAAGAACAAGGGCCTAGCGTGTGCAAAATAGAAAGAACAAGGGCCTAGCGTTCGCGAAATAGCAAGAACAAGGGCCTAGCGTGTGCAAAATAAAAAGAACAAGGGTCTAGCATGTGCAAAGTTGCAAGAACAAGGGCCTAGCGTGTGCAAAATTGCAAGAACAAGGGCATAGCGTGTGCAAAATAGCAAAAACAAGGGCCTAGCGTGTGCAAAATAAAAAGAACAAGGGCCTAGCGTGTGCAAAATAAAAAGAACAAGGGCCTAGCGTTCGCGAAATAGGGAGAACAAGGGCCTAGCGTGTGCAAAATAAAAAGAACAAGGGCCTAGCGTGTGCAAAATAAAAAGAACAAGGGCCTAGCGTTCGCGAAATAGCAAGAACAAGGGCCTAGCGTGTGCAAAAAAAAAGAACAAGGGTCTAGTATGTGCAAAGTTGCAAGAACAAGGGCCTAGCGTGTGCAAAATAAAAAGAACAAGGGCATAGCGTGTGCAAAATAGCAAGAACAAGGGCCTAGCGTGTGCAAAATAAAAAGAACAAGGGCCTAGCGTGTGCAAAATAAAAAGAACAAGGGCCTAGCGTTCGCGAAATAGCAAGAACAAGGGCCTAGCGTGTGCAAAATAAAAAGAACAAGGGCCTAGCGTGTGCACAATTGCAAGAACAAGGGCCTAGCGTGTGCAAAATTGCAAGAACAAGGGCCTAGCGAGTGCAAAATAGCAAGAGCAAGGGCCTAGCGTGTGCAAAATAAAAAGAACAAGGGCCTAGCGTTCGCGAAATAGCGAGAACAAGGGCCTAGCGTGTGCAAAATAAAAAGAACAAGGGCCTAGCGTGTGCAAAATAGAAAGAACAAGGGCCTAGCGTTCGCGAAATAGCAAGAACAAGGGCCTAGCGTGTGCAAAATAAAAAGAACAAGGGTCTAGCATGTGCAAAGTTGCAAGAACAAGGGCCTAGCGTGTGCAAAATAAAAAGAACAAGGGCATAGCGTGTGCAAAATAGCAAGAACAAGGGCCTAGCTGACAAAAGTTAGAAGAAAGAAAGAGGAATGAACTAGCAGAAATGGGGATACAAATAGCAAACCCTAGAAGGGTTGTACTCGCTATAGAGCACCCCACTACAGGCTAGAACATAAGAATAATATTCTGACACTAGCGTGTGCAAAATAAAAAGATTAAGGGCCTAGCGTGTGCAAAATAAAAAGAACAAGGGCCTAGCGTTCGCGAAATAGCAAGAACAAGGGCCTAGCGTGTGCAAAATAAAAAGAACAAGGGTCTAGCATGTGCAAAATTGCAAGAACAAGGGCATAGCGTGTGCAAAATAGCAAGAACAAGGGCCTATCGTGTGCAAAATAAAAAGAACAAGGGCCTAGCGTGTGCAAAATAAAAAGAACAAGGGCCTAGCGTTCGCGGAATAGGGAGAACAAGGGCCTAGGGTGTGCAAAATAAAAAAGAACAAGGGCCTAGCGTGTGCAAAATAAAAAGAACAAGGGCCTAGCGTTCGCAAATAGCAAGAACAAGGGGCCTAGCGTTGTGCGAAATAAAAAGAACAAGGGTCTAGCATGTGCAAAGTTGCCAGAACAAGGGCCTGAGCGTGTGCAAAATTGCAAGAAACAAGGGCCTAGCGAGTGCAAAATAGCAAGAGCAAGGGCCTGCGTGTGCAAAAATAAAAATAAACATAGGGCCTAGCGTGTTGATAAATAAAAAGAAGCAAGGGCCTAGCGGTTCCGCGAAAATAGCAAGAACAATGGGCCTAGCGTGTTGCAAAATAAAAGAACAAGGGTCTACGCATGAGGCAAGTTGCAAGAACCAAAAAGGGCCTAGCGTGGTGCAAAATAAAAAGAACAACGGGCATAGCGTGTGCAAATAGCAAGAACAAGGGACTAGCGTAGTGGCAAAATAAAAAGAACAAAGGGCCTAGCGTGTGCAAAATAAAAAGAACAAGGGCGTAGCGTTCGCGAAATAGCAAG